CCCCCCCCCCCCAAGTTCACAAATTAAGGCATCACTGCCACTCGTTGTAACATTCTTATATTTTCTAATTATACATAATCTACCTACACTAATTACCAAATATATGTGCGGCAATATCGAAATAATAGAATTCGTGATATTTAATGAGTCGTCGGAACTAGCATTGCACGTGCTACACAATCGATGAGTAAAATAAAAATTTCGATTTCGATTGTTTGTTTGCATTCAGTCACCTTTTAGCACCCAAACACAAAATACAAAAACATTTAATTGAGAAATTGAGAGTTTTCTTAATATACTATACTGTTTGAATCGAAGCAACTTCTGCAAATAATGACTACGCTGCCGACTACGAATTTTATTCTGTAACAACCGCCGTGACTCCAATGGTCTTCCTCGTCCAAAACACGAACCTGGATACATAGTGCTCTAACACTCAATTTTAAAGAAAGGGCACATTTTCATAGAAATACAAAATTTTGGTCAGAAATAATATGCTATGTAAGAATTAAAATGTTAGAGATGTTCAATTCGGTTGAGGAAATAGTGGAGATGCTAATAAATATAATAATATCGTTTATTCCTTCATTTTGAGCCTACTAATAGTTGTAAATTATCATCAAACATTCCAAAAATTCTGATGTATCTACATTCTACGCAATACATTTTTATATTTACGAAAAGTTACTTGTGTAGTATGATAACTGCACTCATTTAACAATTTCTCAGACATTTCATGGAGGAAGCAGTGTAAAAAAAATGTGTCATAGAAGTTTAAAGTTTTCACATATCACGATAACATTCAGTGACATTATATGCTTTGCCAATGTGTCATCCATTGCTAGCCTATCTTGAGCACTTTCCTAGACTCTGATGATCGTATGCAGTCACTTATCTGCTGAAAATATCATAACTATCATTATAACCAAATTCAAGGACCTTGCTCCATTTTATACGTCGAATTGAATTCTCCTCACATATAAACATTTTCACAATGTCCTATTTTGTCCAAGAACCGAGTACTCTTTTGAAAATTCTGCTTTCTTTCGAAATCTGATGTTATACAGGAATCTGGATTAATGATTCGGTTCGCACTTGAAATAGAATGAGATTACTTTTATGAGCAACAGTATCGATAACAGGGATTTTTTTATCACATTAGTTGTCCAACTTTGAAAATATTAGTCTTTAAAATATAGTAAATCTCAAGCGATAAGGTCTTCAAATTCTAATCTACTACATTACTGGAGTGAAATAGGAAATATAAGTAAAACAAGACTGGGAAATAGTGATACACATATCACGTACGAAATAGTGTATATAAATGCTTCAGAATTTAAAGGATCGATACATTCATCTTTATCCTACAAGATTGAATAATTCATCAATTCTGATTCGCTGAATGACATTCAGAGTTTAATAGTCGAACCCCCTTCACAAATTTTATTTGAGCCTACATAACTAAAATAACTTGATTACCTTTAATATTGTCGATTTCTTCTGCTAACAGAGAGAACGACAAAGGCCAACACTGTAATGTTCGAAGGGACAAGTATTATTGTAGCCAGAAGATATTGTTCCAAATTATATTCTTCGGCATTTCATGTTTATTGATACCCCTTGTAATGCCAGTACATTCTTTCATTAACTGTGGGTCGAAGTAAAGGGTTGTCCAATGACAATGTCATGACTTACACATAATTTTCAGTAAACGTATTTCCCATATGTTTGTCAGCAGATATTATTAATGTCATTATAATATCAGAGTGATTAGTAGAAGAACTATAACAACCTATATTTTCACTTTACTGAAATAGGAAACATGACAGATATGAGATACGTTCGTGTGCTGAATGTACCGTGTTCCAAATAATTTTCTGTCACCATTTACTATCAGGCATGAAGAAATTATTTACTAGCATGTCTTCTTATGCTGTTGATATATTGCTAAAATAACTGCTTCTTAATTACCATCATGACAAGGGGACTAAGGGAACGTGATATCGAATGGGCAATTTGCAGTGCTAGTTCCAAGAATACATGATTAGGGAACCTACTTAATAGGGAATTGAAAATATTTTCTGTCCCTGAACAGTAAAAATGAAGCCACACATAGTAGGCATGGATTCATCTAAACCAGTATAATGGCTATCTTGCGTAATTAACGAAGTATTCAAATGATCACTATTAAGGCACTAGACATCAAAAGTTTAATCGTTTACTTATGAACTGAAAATAACGTTGTGCCATCTCTAAAAGACAAATAAAGGGACAATAAACTGTATTTGACATAAATGTGATAAAATTAATGGAAATAATGAAACATTTAATGCAAAAATGTATGAAGGTGGAACCACAAATGTATATGTAAATATTAATTATACGTACATCATTTTACGCTTATATTTGGATGGGTCCCTTTCACATTCCATCACAGCTATGAAACTTGCATATATAGTATGAAATTCAGTTATATTATATTAGGTCAAATAAAATTTCATATTTGTAAAATACTTTACTTGAATACAGTTATCAAATGCGTGCTTCGATTGTTCGACGTCATAGCGACTTCGGCCAACAGATGCTGAACGTCTGTATTTAATTTCCGGATTTAATGGACGTACAAGTAGTTTGCCACACACAATGAGCCATGCAATATCAAGCCTTTTACAGTTTTGAATATATATATGGTTATTTCCTTCCTCTAAATATAAATTATTTAGAAAACTCAAACTTCTAGCATTTCCTTTGAAATTGCTTCTTATATGTGTGTAAATATTGTAAATTATATGGGCACAAATATTTGAGAAATATACCATTTACAAGGACGGAGACTTTCGCACTTTGCGTACTTACACCTCTACATATTTCGAAATCCTGGCTATTCTGTAAAATCGAAGATGAGCTTCAAGCATTCACTTCTGAATTGGGTTTTCCCAAAATGGGACGATAACGATATGCCTCAGAAATATATTAAACTTCCAAGAAACAAATTCTGAATTTTATTTTCCTCGTTAGCTAATAGACACTTTCCCGAAACACTGTCATTTAAATAATTGGGCTAAATTATTTTATGGCGTACAAAACTCATTAAAGTATTAAAGTTCAGGACAAACATATTTTTAATTATTAATTAACTTTTATAACAATGATCTTCTCTTCTCAAGTCAGCTTCTCTTATTGGTCTACGGAGTCATCATAGGTAATTAACTCTTATGTTCTTAATTCCTTGATATCATAACGTATATGTATGTATATCATAACGTAACGTATTGTAGATACACTATAATTCCAAATTTTAACGGCTTGTGGTGTATAAAGCAGAAAACCCATCACCCTTATAAAATTAATAAAGAATTTTCTTTTCCCTTATTATCGTTTTCAATCCACTGGAACCCACTACTCTTATATAAGCTAATGATAGTCTCTGAAATAAACTAAAACGTACATTTGATGATGATACAATATAAATTGAATCTACCAAATTTCCAGTTCCTCTACAAAAACATCATTTTCTCGCTTAATCTCTAAGCGGCCGGATATCTTTGTGATCATGTCTATAAATATTTTTGTATTTATCTTACCACGATATCTAGAAATCTGCCTGAATTTCCTTCAAATTTTGATAAAGGTTACAGTTTTTAATATTTTAACATCACGTTATTTGACAAATAATTGCTGACACCTACTGCCTATAATTTCGTAATTCAATAATTTATTTTCAGACACAATAATATATATACATCACGTTTTTGCTTCATAGAATTCTCTTAATATTTGTTAAAAATTTTCGTTACTTAGTGTTAAACGACAAGCGCTCCAATAGTATCACGAACCATGTATGCTGTAACAATTTCATTATGCTATTTATTTCAAAGTATTTTTGAATCATTATGGCTTATGGTTACGTGAAAGTCATGACATTTATATCATCATTGGATTGATCATCGTCTCGACATTCACTTCATGATTAAAATGTAGATTACCAATAACCATGGAGTTTCAACAAATTTGGCGATTAGAAGAACGTCCAGCATATTATAATATCTGCATGTTTCAATCAAGCAATTCTACTCTCGAATACTTTTTATATGATTGCTGATAAGTGAGGTATTTATGCTAATTAAATTATTTTGTTTATTCCATTTACACTTGAACGTCATTATTTAAGTAAAAGGACTTATCAGTGGTAATCGAATAGGGAAGCCATAATGTGACATAGTACAACTTATGCAATTATTATTAACAAGTAGCTTGTGTTACTTCATTAGTATTATTTCATAATATTGTATATAAAAACGTACCAGCAGGGATGATATGGAATATGCAGGCATTCTTTTGTTTGCCAGCGGTATTACTTGCCAAACAGGACACTGTACCATAGTCCATTTCTGTGATTGGCCGGTAAATTAGAATGCTCTGACTATGTCGTGTAGAGTTTCTGTATCGAGCCTGAGGTACATCAACTGATTCTTCAGTGTTGTTAAATGTCCAACGAAAGCCATCTGGATGTGGATATGCCTCAACGCTGCAAATTACTCGAACATCCTCGTGCCGTGCTACACCATAAATCCGCTTCTGATCTGGTATACAAATAGGCTTATCTACAAAAGATGAATATAATTCTGAATCTTGTAATGTGAAAAATACACTCAAAATATTGAAACTATTATTAATGATTGATTCGTAGGGACTAGTAATTCATAATAACTACTTCATAGTACAGTTAGCCATTAAGCAACATGGTTGTTGCGCCAGATAATGCTGAGGCAGGAAAAGGGAATTATTAAATAATTCTGGTAATATAATGCATTCAACAGAATAATAATAACAATGTAAAACGGTAAAACGTACGGTATGATAAATGCAGATGTATAAATAAGATACACTTATATATAATGAATATTCAAAGACTCAGTTCCACGATATTAAGACTCTGATACCACGCGTTATTTGCAAATAATGTGAAGCATTTCTTGAAAAATATAAATACGTTGTAGGCAAAGGAAAATTTAAGTCATTGCAGGTAGTATCTATTGCATCTCAACTGCAGTCAGTTATGTTCATCGTTGTGTTGTAATTGAATATCTGTTATTTGTTATTCCTCTAATTGTATAACAAATAGTAATATAGTACAGGAATCCATAGTCTCTCTCATCATAAAGAAGGTCTAATTGAGTGTAGACGAGGTCATTAATGCTTCACATTAATAGTGCTCTTGAAAAATTGCAGTACCACTCGTATTCGGAGATTAGGTGTAGAGATCATATAGAATTACCTAATAGTTTGATTGAAATAAATTAATGAATCGAATGGAAGATCAAATAGATATTATAAGTCATGAAGGTGTAGAAAGGTTTGATACACTTTATGGAAATTTTAGTATAACAATTATTATTGATCTGCTGGTATCGAGACATCTCATAATTCAATTAGGATCTCTAAACATAGCATATGAAGTCCAACACACCTTCCTCCCTCTTTCACGGGTCTTTCGCTCATCAATTGATAGAAATTCGCTAAAAACCCCAGTGTATCTTAGAAGTGTCTTATGTGGAGTTCCTGGTACTTAAACTTTCTCTTCCAGTTCCAATCAAGATGCACCTTCAGGAAAGGAAATGTATTTCGATATTTTCAACATTAAATGAGTTATTTCAATTCGAGTGCTGTCACTTCAATTACCGACGTTTATAGGATACTATAAATAATGTCATTTCTTGATACATAGTGTGATATTTTTAAGTGATTCCAGTCCTGCTTATGAAACATTTAAAAGTCACATAAAGTGGCACGGGTTTGCTTGAGCAATCTAGAAAGTATATTTCGCGGATTCTGTAGTCGGTTGTATTACATCCATGTAACTGGCTTCAGCATCGATAAAAGAGAGAAATTTTCTCACATTTCCGTATGCAGTTCAGAAGTTTGAAAAATCTCCCATTGCATAGAACATTTTAGAGTGAAGGTGATAGACATAGTAACACTAGTAGGGAGTAACAGTGATTAAAGATTTTTGAGAGAGGGATTGCTTTAGAGGGATTGTTGCTCATTCTACGCCCATTATTCATTTCTAACTGCCAAAATATGAAGATCGGAATGAAGCACAGGCCGGCGAGAAATAGTTACGTATTGCAACCAATCCCTGCATAGCAAAATTCTTAGCATGTATACTGATTAAGAAACAATTGTAATCAAATCCTTACACTTCACACATATAATAACTGTTTACCCACATGCGCCAACTTGACGTTAAAGTGCTGTCGAGCCATCTTCTAAAAATCCACAAGCTGTTCATTATATTGGGAACTTTACCAGCCGCAACCAAAGGGTCATTGAAGCATGTACCAGAGGAACTCTATGTTAAATAACTACAACTTGATGCTATTAAGTTATGGCAGATCCACTTACTTTTCCACCGTCAATGGGATCCTAACAACAATTGACCAATCCCTCTGCACCGCAATTATATCTTACGGAACTTAATGGAACGTATCTGACAATCTATATGACAGCGACCACTTTTCTGTTCGCATTATATATAACTATAAAAAACACAGCACTCATCGGTCAGAAGCTCCAGATGCATAACAGAAAAAGCAGAGTGGAGTAATTACCATATCAAACTCAATAGTTTAATATCCATTTTGTATGAACCACCTCAGCATAATGCGAAGTAAATTAATAAACTATTAAATATATTTCTTAACACAATGTACATTATCGCTGATCATTCAATACCTATAACGAAACTCAACACGTTGCCTAGCCATTTGGTATCCCCAAAGTGGAACGAAATCAAAGAAAAGCAACCAACGAAACAGAAAAGTCATATCATAAGTACAAAAAATATCGCTTCCTTCAAAATCTCATTATCATCAAAGAATGCGGAGCCATTTCTAGAAAAATCGTTAGAGGAAGCAAGTGGCCATCATGGATGAACTTCATCAGAACTATAAACAAAGACACTCTTATAAAGGACATATGCAGTAAAACAGGATCTACTAAAAGCAAACACCGATATTATGCCGTAGCGGACTCATGTATGCCGGACAATCCCATACACCCATACCACTCAAGCAAAGCCAACTGCTAATTTAATGGCAAGAAATTTCCGAATGCACTCACGCAATAAGAACTGCAACGCAAGCTGTAACGAATGCGTAGAAGAAACAATGTGCACATCCACTAGAAAACAGCAAAACACTGGTAATATATGCAAACACCCGTCCATTAATAACCCCGTGCAAGTAGGAGAAATGGAGGGAGTACTACAAAAATACAAAGACCCATCTATGTGTACTACTCCACAGCCTCTCATCTGCTGCGAAAGCGTAGATTTCTAATCTTTTCTATATTATGTAGCCATACAGAGTATTCTAGATGCAGTGGACCGAAGCCACGATCATACTTGTCCACAAAGCTAATATAGACCTTACAAACCTCTTCAGGAACCAGGAAGAAGCCTGGACAAACACCTAATCTAAGGTCACGGAAAAAATGCTGAACAACCGTATAAAATGGGTACGACAACGATACAATGTAATCACGCCTGCACAAAACATAGAAGAAATGTATGACGTGCTATGGAGACAACATATCATTTCCATCCTAAACAATCTGTGTATTACAGGCAACACTGTTGCATACATCAAAGTCAGAGTTATCAATCCCACATCCACAATGTGCACAACACAAGGTCGTATACTGCATGGTTCTGTATTAAGTATTGCCCTATTCCTACTTGTCAGAAATGACGTGGCTAAACTATCTGTTGCACCGGCTATAGTTTTTCTTCATGGCGTTGACCTAACAATAGCGTGTCCAGAAGGATGTCTCAGAACAAATGCGGGAATATTCAGAATGTTTCGGGACATTTCGTCGGGAAACACGGAATGTTTCAGAAGCTTCAAGGCTGGGATCTCCAATTGGTCAAGGACATCACGTTCATATTTCATATCTCACATCTGCAAGAAAAATGTAACACCAAATTAAACAACCTTAAAGCGATAGCCATAAACAACCGGGGACGAGATAGGGAAATCCTGAACAATTCTTACTTATACTTAATATGAACAAAATTTAATTATGGTGGCATCATTTATTCCTCTGTAAAGGAAACGCTATACTGAAACCTTTGTGTACTATTCAGAAAGCAGGATTTGTAATAGCGGCAGGTGCTCTAGAAAGAGCCCTATCCTATACATATGACGCGAGACAGAAGAGCCAACACTTCAATAGAGAAGGAAATTTCTTCCCATATGCAAGCTATCAAATAAAGAACCTGCTATAAGAAACAAGTATTCGCAGCCATATTCGGCAATTAAATACCTGCAGTACAAATATTAGAGAAATTTAAACCGCTTTGCGACAAATGCAATGATATAAAAACTGAACTCAGTCTGAAGATACACTTGAACGAAAGTTTGTTCGTGAAGATCAACGTTCCTCCAGGGACAGTGCAGCCTATTACAATGACTACCTGTCTTGGAACTCATGTAGAGGCTAACACAAACCAAGAACACATCAAACAGTGTACGCTGCATGTCTTAAGCAAATTTTCCTGTTTCACTCAGATTTCAAGTTTCGGATCGATATGATCTGAGAATGACGCCTGTGTCATCGCAATCAAAGGCACTGTGCAAGGACAAACTACCACATTGCAGTGGAATTACAGGTGCCGAGTTAATTACATCTCGGCGAACTTCCAAACCGCCATCCAGAAATACATGACCCACCGTGACTGCAAAAATGACATACTATTCATGAAACATAGAAGCATAGAAAAATATAGACAAGGAAACAGGAAATATCACAGTAGAGATACTATCGTACGGCTGATGAAAATGGGATCAGTGTCGTTCTAGCCTGGACGTCATAGCACATAGGAATTTACAGCAAAGAAATGAACCATCATCAAATGGACAGTGTGGAACATCTCCTGCCGACGAGCAGAAACTATTCAAGAAACATCTATAACAACACTGAAACATGAAATGAAAGAGCTATGCTGCTCCTCATGCCCTCGAAATTCAAAAAAATTTCTTTGTCGGAAAGCGAAACTTCTCCAGGCCCCGGCTCTAATCGGGAACAACAAATAATCGTGAGCAAACTTGGAATCGGCTACCTACAACCCATGTATTAAAACCTGACCCTCTAAACTGAACATCCATTATTTACCACCTGCTTCACCGGAATCACAGTAAATATCCCCCTATAATGTAAAGATTATTCAAATTTCCTGCAATTTTAGGAAACCACCTTACAAAGCATCTAAGTTATCTTAGTCATAAAACATATTTCATTAAACAAAATAGTTTAAAGCTCAATGACAGTCGTCGCTAGCCAGCACGCATACATCCATAATAATATTCAAATTACGGAAATAGGTTAAGGTTACATAAGGAAAGCGTTAGGAATGTTGTCATTATATTGGCATCATGACGAGAAGAGGAAAGTCCTTTTCCAGTTATTCGCCCCCTCGATTATACAAATAAGAGAAGAAACTGCAATCCATCATGAAGGACATTAATATTACAAGGAGAACGATTACAAATATTTACTTTAATATCTGTAGGAGCAGGGTTAAATATGACACTGTCATAACACT